AAATAATGTTTTGGAAATGAACTCGAAATATTTCAGAAATTGATCGAAAATAATTGATAATAGGTCATAGTCTGTATGAGGCCCGTACTGCTGAGCAAAACAAAACAATATGAAAGGACACAGTACAAGGCCGGCGGAAGGAAAATCTTGAGACCGGGCGAGTACCCTATCTGGCGCCCCCCCCCCCTCCTTAACAGTTACTATAACTCTCTGTTTCCTTCAGTCCTATACTTTAACTACATACTAAGCATATTTATGCTACTTTAACAATAAATTTTCACTTTTGAAGTATCTTTACTTCAAAATTCTTCTCTACGTTCAATCTTAGTCTGCGATTGTTGTTTTTTCAACACCGGTCTCGAAAGTGACTCATTCCTATAAATTTCTTATTTTTTTAGATAAAAAAACGAGTTTTGGTATGTTAGTATATGACATAATTATTAGGTTTGATTGACGTATTCAATGGTTGTTAGTCATTTCCTGTTTAACCGGAAATGAGCTAAACCTTTTGATTTTTAAATGCACCCTCGGTATATTTCTACTTTATTTCAAAAGAAAATGACATTCTCAGTAGAATGGCATATCATATATCAATTTTGACATTTTCGCTTAAAAAAATCGTATTTTAAATTTTAATCTATAGTGCCAGGGCTGTGTTAAAAATATACAAATTATAGGGGGGAGAAACTTCTGAGACGCACTCGGTATAGGTAGAAAGCATAAGAAATAGAATGCCAACTTTGGCAGTCTCGTTCTGGTATAAGTGATCTTTGAAAACATAACAGTATTTAATTGCAAGCAGTTACGTTATTTTTTATTATATTTTATTATTAAGAATTTAAGAAAATTTTCCATTCTTTTTCAAAAACAATTACATACTTAGTGCAGTATCAGTATTATGATCAGACAGTTTTTTCGGCTGCAAAATAAGGATCAGTCAATGTTTGAGATGCGTTTCTTTGTGAGAAATTTTTCTTTGTGTGATTCCTCTAATGAGAAAATGTTACAATTTTGCTACCATTTTCAGTGTATTACTACATATTCAATCCGGAACAATCAAAACCACCAAAATATTGATATCTTTCCCACTACTAGTAATAAATTAATTTAATTAATGAGGCAAACTTATAAGTTTTTTTTTGATAATAAGGATATCGGGATCCTCTTCAGCTTCTTGCGAATGAATATTGGCCGCATATAACTTTAGGGCATATCAGCCATTAATAACAAATAAAGGGTGTGGATAGTAGAAAAAGTGCAATTTTGAGCGGTCAGTCTAAAACTGTTAATTTTGCTGGCTCTTGACCCAAAACAGTTTGTTTAGAAATTTATAAAAACGAGAATTATAGAAAGAAGGATTATTTACAAAAAGTTGTTAGCTTTTGAGTTATAAAAATGCCACGAATAAATCCGATTTATATTTTTTTATTTAATTTTGTTTAATATTCTTCCACGAAAATGAATTCGCAAATTCCAGATTCGAATAGAGCACTCAAAAAACATAGAATAGAAGAAATCAAAACTATCCCAAAGCTTTCGTGCTAAGTTTTTTTTTGAGCATAATTTCAGTAAACTATTAATAGGATACATCTAGGATATAGTATAGTGTTTATAATGTTTAGTCAGGTATTCTTCCCTTTGTGGTGTGGTAATAGCTAATGTGTTAATGTGGAAATTGACAGTACCAATTAATTATTGAACTGGATATTCGTTACTATTTGTTTAGATTACTGTTTTTAAATATTTTTGTTGCTATTGTGGCGCCCCTCGCTTTCGGCGCCCGGGTCGCCCGGCCCTTCCGCCGGCCCTGACACAGTAAATACGATTTGATAAAAACACCATATTCTCATAGAGTATTAGGAGGAGGATATGTTTCTTCAGAATAAATATAAAAAATACACTCAATTGCTAAAAAACATAACGGAGAAATTTTTTGTCAAATTTAAAATGTTATATTTTTGTTATTTTTAACCCTATTTTCATGAGTTTTGCTGTATATTATATCAATTTTAATTCGGAAACGCAGCTTTTTATAAACTGTATTATTTGGTATATTATACAGGGTTAATTGAGGGGTTGTTTTTTGGTGAATAATTTCGTCTGTAAATTTTCCTGCAATATAATTTTGCGGTCAGAACCATGACTCTTGAGCATTTTGTTTTTTGATTCATATCAATACATAGTTAATTTTTAAGAGCGAAATGAACTGAGAACGATCAATTTGCAATTTTTTTAGTTATCAATACTTTTGATGTAATTTTTTAATACGAACGAAATTATACCACTTGCTTATTCGTACTTTTACCAATGCGGTGTGGTGAATTCTAAGATTTACAGTTTGGGTCCGGTAAAAGTCCGAAATGGAAGCAAAATAAATAGTTTTTGGGCTTTTACCACATACTTTTGGTAAATCCTAGGTTTTACCGCATTTCGGACATTTACAGTAACATATACATTCTCGAGCTGATTTAAAACCTGACCGACCATTCTTATGAAACTAGAATTCGACAAACCAAACAAATCAGATTACCAGTGAGTACCAATAACCTTAATTTAAGGTATGTTACTTATTTTGGGCCTAAACTATATAATTTGTTGCCATTGGAGGTGAGAAATTGTGTGAAACTGAAACAATTTAAATTATTACGCAAAAATATAATATATGGAAACTATAATCAATTTGAAAGGTATTTTATCTAACTGTAGTATATTATTTTTGTAAATCACTTCATTTAAGTATATTTAATGATTGTATATCTTAAGTTATTGTTTTTTGGACCAGCTTATTCTGCTAGCACTTGTTTTGCCACTTATTTTGATTATATAATGAAATATCCTTTAAAATAAATATAAATAAGTTTTACGTAGGTACTTACCTACCTTAAAATACATACAGATGTTACACATCTAGGTTCTTTATCTTATAGATAATATTTAGAAAATATCAAGTAGTATATTATAGCTTTATTCAACTGTACAACAATAAAATAAATAAATTTATGAATAAATAAATAAAAATAAATTGATTAATATAGGTATTTTTTTAAATTTTTATCTCGTAAAAAAAATGAAAAAAATAAATATATATACAGGGTGGTCCGAACTGTATTCCGGAAACTTCGGCAGCATATTCTGCAAATAAAAATAAGTAAAAAAGTTCGTATTAAATAATTTCTGAAGTAATGTCAATATTTGGATGAAAATGTCTGGAAGTTTTTTGACATGAGAAATTTGATTTTGGTGTCAATATGACTCCTACTAGTAGAGGGCGCCACCTACATGTGTTTTAACTGTTTTGAAGCGTAATGGAAATAGACAATACATATTATGTCATTATTGTCGAAAAATCAACACGTTGAGTAGATGATAGTTATTTCACTGAAATAATAAATTTAGGAATTTTTTATTTTTTTTAAATTAATTATAATTTTTTCTGCAAAAAATGATGATAAAACAGTTTCTGTTGATCTTTTGGCACAAAAACATTTCAAATTTATGATTTCAGTCTAATAACTATTAATTTAGTCAACCATGTTTAATTATGTCAATGATGACAGGTATTTATCAATACCTGTCATTTCGATTCCAAATATCTCGAAAACCATTACTCGTAGCGGTTTTTACCAAGAGACCTTTTTCACGTAAAAAACGTCGTGAATTTATATTTTTTTACTCAGTAGTTTTATACAGGCACGTACGAAAAGTTATTACTCTTCAAACCTGTTAAAAAATATGTAGGTAGCGCCCTTTACCAGTAGGAGTCATATTGACATCAAAATCAAATTTCTCATGTCAAAAAACTCCCAGACACCAATTTTCATCCAAATATTGACGTTACTTCAGAAATTATTTGGAAAAAATCGAAATAAAAATGAAATTTCTACACTCTGTATCTTCGAAACTAAGCCTTTTATGACATACATTTATACGAACTTTTTTACTTATTTTTATCTGCAGAATATGCTGCCGAAGTTTCCGGAATACAGTTCGGACCACCCTGTATAGTTCACAATAATCACCAGAGCCACCTTGTCACGTTGAAAAATAACTTCAAAAAGAAACGATAATTGAAAAAATTGCAAATTGTTGGCGGCAAGCTCATTAAAAATTAATCAAGGCATGTATTGACGTGATCCAAAGAACAAAATACTCAGAAGACATGGTTCTGACCGTAAAATTATATTTTAGGAAAATTTACGAACGAAATTATTGCACAGGGTGTTTTTTGCATCTGAGTGTATTTTGGATAGTCTATATTTCATACTTTTTCAAGTTTGTACGGTGCGGTTATATAAATGTAAAGTATTTATGTAAATATATGTAATAATATATGTATGTATATATGTAAAATGTAATACGTGCGGTTTACAAATGTAAAGATAAAGCGTATTAGAGAACTTACAAATCTTAATTTCAATGTTATTCTTTGGATTATGGAAGGCAGTCTAATCTGCAAACAAAAGTTGTAATTTATTGCGGGAATTCCTATTATATCGATTAAATTATCTAAATTGAAGTAAAGTCGGAGGATTAACGTTCGTAAGTCCTTAAGTTATTTCGTCGTCTGATGCAATAAATAAAATTAAAAATTATAATTCTTATCGTCTTTTGCTTTGATTAATATCTCTGATGATACAATCAGATTCTAAATTTAAGGGATTGCTAATTATACAATTATATATTCTTGTAATTGCTGTAACGTTTTTGAAGCTAGAGCGCAGTCATCAGGGTATTGAAGTTTTATGATGCATTTTAGTATGTATTATTTATATGTATTTTTGCAGCTTTTTTCATCTGATTGGCATAACCTGCAAATAACGTTGTAATGCAATTAAGTCTATTCCATCCTTGCTACAGGCCACTACAACATTTACAAACAAAATAATTGAAAAGTAAAAAAAAACACAAAAGATTAGCTAAAATGGAAAATGTGCAATTCTTCAATAAATTTATGGCATTGATATTTATGAAAAATACTAATATCCATGTTTTTTCTTCAGGTTATCCCTCTGAGCTGTTCTACAGAGGCAGCGCCATGTGGGAGACGCTCTACGGGATGGTACTGGCCTACCCTATAGTATGCTACGTGTTTGTACCGGTCTACTTCAGCTTGGGTATCACTTCAGTATATCAGTACCTGGACATGAGGTTCAAATCTCGACTGGTACGATGTCTGGCTTCCGGAACCTACGTTGTGAGGCAGTTGCTCAATCAAGGCGTTACAGTGTTCACTCCTTGTGTCGCTTTGAATACCGTGATTGGTATACCGTACTGGGCATCAATATCTGGTATCACTTTAGCCAGTATTATATTTAATCTGTTGGTAAGTATACTAATAATATAATATAATGTTTTTCTGGGCACTACAATAGTATATCTTTTTAATAGAAAAACACCACCGGGAGGTATTTCCTTCTAGAATAAAATACCAACTTATTTTTTATTTTTTAATAATTTTTTAATTTTCTTTTTACAATGACAAAATATTTCTACGAAAAAGGCCGTTTAGTTGGTTTGGAAACGACAATTATTGACATTTGTATGCATATGAAATAACAGCGATCTTCATTTCCAAACTAACTCTAACACCCTTCTTTGTTTAATCGTACAATATTATATTAAACTGTTTAATGATAGAAAATCCGGATTATTAACATACTGTACCACCACCCCCTCACTTATTAAGACCATTCAACATGATATGCGCAAGGCAAATATGGCGGCGAAGGCAGTGCATTTTTAAATTGTTTACCTTTAACGTGAAAAGCCGCTAGTGGTTTCTCGTTCCGATTGCATACCAGAAATAATTAATTATCTCTAGTTTGTTGTGCTTCTGCAACACGTTTGTTTAGTTCTTAGTTTTCAGTGCATGGTGTGATCGAAAAATTGGCCAGGTGCGTAAGTGTAATAAAAATTCAAACCAGACATTCCACATAGGGAACTTCAAACTTTTGTGCTTGTCGTACTCTGTATTAATGGTATTTTAAGGTAAGAACTAGAAGTTTTTATCAAGATATTACACCTATAAATGAGTAAAAAAGCCTTCACCGCCAGTCCTGCAAGTACTTTATAATGGTTATACTTACAATAATCAAAAGATAGGTATTAAAGGGTTAACATTTTATTGTAGCATGCTCTGTTCCAAATTGTTACGGGAATTATAGAGGGGTCCCAAGGTTTCTGCTTTTATATTCCCCAAAAATGACGAGCTTCGTAAAAAATGGTTGACAGCTATTAAAAGAGATAATTTCACTCCTACTAGTAGTAGTTCTCGGGTAAGAAGTGCGTTAAATATGCCTCAAAAAGGCCAAAGGCTAAAGCCTCTAGTACCCTAGTGAGGATGTAGTTATGGCTGCTGCTTACACTTACCTCACCATAAGTAAAATATTGGAAGAAGAATCAAGCTTTTTACGTCAAGATCACAGAAAGATATTGACACCATTGACATTTGAAAATATAAATGGCCTGGATTTAAGTCTTTTTTAGGTCACAATTGCCCCTCACACACGTCAGAATTTATTATTAAATCCATCTTGTTCAGAATATCAATATTTTATTAAAGGCATGCGAAATGGAATGAAGTCTTTACCTCAAAGAGAATGCCCTATGTTAAGGGAAAGAGTAAATAAAACTAAGCTAAGCGTAAGTTTTACTTACATTCCAAAAATTTAGTTTTTTCTAAAATCTTGAAACACATATTATATTTTTTAGTTATCCTCACCTATTATAGTTTAAAGTTATTCCCATTTAATGCTACAAAACATATGCTAACATGAAAAATATTCCCATATTTTAATCAAACATTTTAAAATTTCCGAGAGCATTTACAAAGATTTTACTAAACCAAGTATATATTTATCAAACGTTCAGTAAATTATGGTAGTTAAGTGTTTGCAATTGAATGTTTAGTTTATATTGCTATTTTCTGTCATATATTTCTGGTTGTTTTTTTTTTTTATTTTCTTTTAATTTTTGCATGTCCATTATTATGTTTGAATATTTTAACACTACCTTTTTATAAAAAGTAACTTAGATGTTTTCATAAAAGTAATAATAAATAAAATTTTTGACAGTGATAGATGTGTATGTCATCGAATACATGTATATTAAAAAGAAGTCTAGTGAAATATTACGTTATCTAACCCGACATTTGTGTGAAAAATGTCTATTTGGAAATAAAACAGGGTTTAAAATACGCGCCAAATAAAGCACTATCTCCGCCATATTGGGAAAGGTTGAATGGCCTTAAGTGGAGGGGATGGTACTGTACCAAAATCCGTAAAATCAAATACGTTAATTGGTAGTTCTGGCAACACTGATATAAAGCAACCACTTCTCTGTCCCTTGTGTCTAGAGAAACCAATTCTAATTTGGCTTCCGAGCTTCTGCACATGCAAGTTGTGCCAGTGGAAGATCACGCTATAAATAAAAAAATAAAAGTTTTGGTTCAGATTTGGGAACCACGGACCATTCGCTTACGAAGCAATGGCCTCAGTCACGGAGCCACAGGTGCTCTTGCGACACTGCCTATAGCCAGGCGTTACTTTCCGCCGTAGTTGTTTAAGTACGCAGATCAACTTATTACGCATGCGGAAGCTCGAAAGCCAAAATAGTATTGGTATCTCTAGGCACAAATTTCTCTGTCTGTCGACTGAAAGCAGAACCTGCAGAACTGCGATACAGTATTCTTTATCCGCTGCGCTGTAAACGACCATCAGCGCGCAGCGCAGCGGCACAATAATGCCAGCTACATCTCGGACAGGTTTTGTGCCACGAAATCGCCCATAAGGCTGCGCATCTTCTTATTTCTTCAGTCAACAGTAATACCTTCAAAGTTTTATGATCAAGTGTGCTTTGTAACTTGGCAAATAAACAATAACTTTTATTTCAAAGTTTCAAAGTTCTAGCATACGTACTCATACATATTCTTTATTAGTGATGGGTTGTTATTTAACTATCTGTTATTTTATAACAATAACAATTTATAATAATAACAATTAAAATAACGACACGCAGAGATCGAGTGTTCGTGAAACGAAGTCGGCGCTCTGCACCGCCACGAAATTCGATGCTGCTCGAAGCAATTCCAAAAAACAACTAGTATGGATGGAAAACCTATTATTTCGACAACCATCGATACAGGCGGCGAGATATGGTGGGTTCATACAGCCAAATAAATAAAATAAGAATAAAAATAAAATAAAATAAGAAAGGATTGTGGTTATATGGGATACCGTACATGCGTTCATACGGCCAAATAAAATAACAAATAAAATAAGAAGTCTTTATCTTTTAACTTCTTGTTTTTATTTTATCAATGAAAAATACGACTTTGCGCACACTTAATTCTAACCTACAAATATTTTCAGTTTGGTTGGTATTTTATAATTTCACATAAGTAAAAATGGCATAATATAGTGAGCTAACGAATAAATAAATATACTATAAATAGTAAAAGTACTATAAACAATCGTAAAGGTTAACTTTTATCCAGCCTCATCATACTGCGCATGAGCAAATATATATTTCTTATTTTATTTTATTTGACTGTATGAACGCACACAAATAAGAATTCCTTATTTCTTATTTTATTTTATTCTTATTTTATTTTATTTGGCTGTATGAACCCACCAATACAACGGACAACGGAGTGGGGTATGCGCTACGGCGCGGCGCGTCGTGTTGGGCTGACAACAGCTTAAAAATAATAGGATATAAAAGAAGCAGCTTTTTTGAAACAGTTGCGGGCATAACGCCTGGCTGTCGAGATAACAGGAGTGGGAAAGGAGCGCTGTTGCATTGGTCGATTGTCGATGGAGGCTCACAACGGGTTGGAGAATAACGCATCAGTTGTTTTAGCTATGTTGTTTTTTACCTGTTACGAGCATAACAGAACGGCGTTCGAGATAATCGGAGGTTTGAAACAGGTTGGAGAATAATGCATCAGTTGTTTTAGATACATATTGTTTTCCGGCTTTGTTTGAGCATAACGGGCGGAGGCCGAGATATTATGGCGCTGTATGTTTCAATACTTTGTTAGTAAGTTTCAATATTAAAGTATTTATTTATTCTGAAATTTTAAAATAAACAAAAAATATTTTAGATTTTTTAAAAAATAATACAGGGTGTTTGAAAAATCTGGTCATTGTTTAATCACGATCCTGCGTAAAGCCCTTGACGTAAAAAGCTGATTTTGGAAAACGGATTGACTTTAGGGTGTAGGGGTGCGATAAGAAGGGATTTTCGAAACTCAAATTCTAAGGGGGTGAAACCACCCTCAAATATTAGAATATTTTTTATTTAAAAACTTTGGTGAGTTGCTGAGAAAAAACTTTAAACACGTATATTTTATTTTGTTGTTTTACATATTTTGAGATTTTTACAAAATATATACAGGGTGTTTCAAAATATGACCACTGAGTGATCACTATTCTGCTTAAACTGCTTGACGTTTAAAGCTGATTTTTTGGTAAACGGATTGACTGTAGGGTGTAGAGGTGCGATAAGGAGGGGAGTGCTCGAATCTCAAATTCAAGAGGGTGAAAACGCCTCCTCAAATGGCCACAATATTTATTATTTAAAAACGGTTAGTCTTTCGGAAAACGATTGGACACATAATTTATTTGTTTTTTACATATTTTGAAATTTTTAAAAAAATAACTGGGGTGTTCCAAAAGTTGAGTAATTGATTAACACGATTCTGCTTAAACTGCTCGACGTTTAAAAGCATATTTTTGGCAAATGTGAGAGAATTTTATCCAGTTTGTATGTTAATGGAAATTCTTGCTTTGCTTTATCATCACCATTACAAATTAATAATTTCGATGCGAACGAAGTCGCAGGTACAACTTAACAAGTATAGCTAGAGATGTGAGAAATATAAAAATAGGGGAGCGCCCCCCGATGCGCGGTGGACATCCCACAAATTTGCTTCAATCAGATTTTTCGTAGCGTAGCTGCATCTCTCTTCCGCCGAATGCGTTCCCTCTCTATCGTGTGCGCGACTGGTGCTATCCCCAAGTCTCTTCCTATGTTTGTCAAACTGTACATGCTAGTTTAAGTGTAAAATTAATTCGAACTCTAGTGTGTAGTTGGTTTACTTATGAAGAATATACTACACATTTTTCAGCACTCTATTGTTGCTATTTTTGACCGCAAATGGTAAAATCATAACGAAGTCTTCTCACGCCCGTAGAGTGAGATGCACCCTGTACACTGCTGCGCAATTCAGGATCTACGCGGATCGAGGGGTGGGGCGTAGGTAGATCGGAATTTATGGAGATATAGACGAGTGGCGGCATTTGGCTTTTTTATATCGCAATTTGTAAGCAGCGCTTATTTGTAAGCAACCACCGTTTTTAGAGAGGTATGATAACAATCGATATTTAGAAATGTTATAACACCCTGGAAATACTACCGAGCACGTCATTGTTGCAACTGCGTTAATACGCCTGGCGGAGGTGACCGCCTCATATTCTTTCAGATATTTAGCAATAAAATAAAGAAACCTGGTATTTTTAAGCTGTTATTTTAAGCCATTTTTTTTTTTTTTTTTTTTTTTTTTTTTTTTTTTTTTTTTTTTTTTTTTCTATAGTTTTATTGATTGTACCGTTAATATCGCTAAAGCTCCTAATTTATGATAAAACTATAAAATAAACTTATTTATTATATTCAAATTTATAAAAAAAAAAAAAAAAAATGTAATAATAAAATCTAGTTATAACTAGTTAACTACGTCATCCGATTTAAAGTTTAAATGTCAATAAACTTATAATAAAATGTAAAACATAAAATTCCTTAACACGTGTCTTCATAATTAAAGATTTTAATCTTTGACAAACGTTTCTAAGCTTTTTATACGTACTTCACTAAAATGTTGATATTTGCTTTTTATTTAATTAATTAATATTGACTATGGCCAAAAAACGTAATTATTTTTATCTTTACCTGTATCTTCTCGCTAACGAGATAGTCTTTGTTCGCTTTATTAATAGAAAATAAAATTAATATTAAATTCATTCCACGACCTTGAGGAAAGTACACAATAGCTTTAGATGTAATCTATACGTGATTTCATCTAATAATATATCTAATTAGTCAAAGTATTATTAATCCTGTATAACTTAAAGCTATTTTTTAAAACATAATCGGAGTAATCGATTTAGACATTGTATTAAGTAAGGTATCTGTCGGTATATCTGGGGTTTTCTATGTGAGATAAGATATTTTATGCGATATTTGATATTATTTTAAATATATCATCATCATTTTCAAGATTATTCAACCATCTCCAATTATTGTGAAGATTGTAGCCTCCCTCTCATATTTAGATACTTTGTAATGTATGACATCGGTGTTGGCTGTTTCCTAACATTAATAAGCTAAGCTAATTTCAATATCATGGTCCTATCACAGGTTTGACGCTTCTTCTAAGGTCTCTTAGTTCCTCATTGGGACTACTATGCTGTAGTTTTCATTGGTTCATCTGTTGTCCATCCTTCTTGCCAAGTGTCTCTGTTAGCAGCCGTCCTGTCCATTGCCACTTGAAGGATTTGATTCTGTGGACGACTTTTGTCGTATCCACTCTATTCTTTATGGGCTCTCTTGGTTATTTCCACCATAATTCGTTCCATTGAGCATTGTGCCACATGCAATTTCCTTATAATGTTTATTTGACTAGTAGTAAACATTGATCAGATGTTTCCTTTTAGATAAAGTGGCATTTTAGATTTGAATATGTTTGAGTTTTTTCCATAAATACTCAATGCTAACTTAATAATTCTGTTGAGTTCTGGTAGTAGAGACCCCGAGCTGTGTATTGAGTTGTCTCAAATATTTCTTCTACTATTCCTAATTGTATTGTTATTAGAAAGTATTTTCTGTCTAATAATATGTTATACATTACTTTAGTTTTTGTTAAATTCATTTGTGACCTACTTTTTTGTTGGCTGTATTTGTTTAGATTAATTTGTATTTGTACTTCTTCAGGACTATTAGGATGACTCTGTTATCAACGAATCTTAGATGGTTAAGGTATTGAGATAGTTAAAATGGTTAGGATATTAGTTCTTTTTTTCGAGGAGAGAAAAACCCTTTTAAAGACATCTATCGGATGTTCATGGCATATAGTGTGGGATTTCCACCCACTAAAAAACCTCATCCTATTCCTCACTACATATTGGAACTTCCGGTAAGTATTACTTCAGGGTGCAGCTCTGTCTTCTGTTTAATCCTTCTGTCTTCTCTTCAGGTCTGCCTCTTTTGTTTCTAATATCTTTTTTGCCATATCGGATTAACATAATGTTCGGATCTAATTTCAGTCCCACTTCGTACTCCAGTTTCCTTCGCTCTCTTATCCAACGGGGACACGAGAAGAAAGTATGCTCTACATCATCTTGTGTGTTTTCGCAATAGTAACCGCTTGGTGATTCTCCTATTTTAAACCTATAGTGGTATGACATGAAACAGCCATGGCCGCTTATCAGTTGTGTTAAGAAGAAATTCATGTTTTCGTGCCTTTTATTAACCCAAGGTCGTATATCTGTGATCAGTCTTCTTGTCCAAGTTCCAACACTACTAGGTTCCATCCATCTTTCTTGCCAAAAATCTAGGGTGCGATGTTTTTCTAATATTTTTACTGTTCGCTCAGCTTTATATGTGCGACTGCCCTGCCTGTAGATCTATGGGTACCACGCCTGCAATCACAAGTAGACTCTCTGTAGACACCGTACGAAATGTTGATAAATAATAATAAATGAATAATTGTTATTTAGTCAGTTGGTAGGCCCGACCTTTATATAACAAACCCTTGAATCTTCTCTATATTTCGTTTTATTAGCCAAACCTACACCAAGTATTAATTGTAATTTATGTTGTTACTGTTTAATATTTTTATTACATGCCCTGCAGTGCACAAAAAAGAGCTTAAGTTTTTTAAAGTATTTGTATATTTCATATTTTTATTTGATAAAATTTTTTTTTTTTTTTTCGTAAAATAGAAACCATTTTTTGATTTGCCCCAGGGCCCTTGGTTACCTAGCTACGCCACTGAATCCTATGTATAGCAGTATTTGCTGTCATTACTAGAACTGCCTCTGAGTCTACGTTTACCACAATTGCCAAATCGTCAGCATAGCCAACAAGTAATACATTCGGTGGCATCTCTAATCAAACCACCTCGTCATAATAGATGTTCCATAATAATGATCCGAGGACAGAGCCTTGCGGTACTCCACACAATATATCCATTGCGTTATTTTGACATATATGCAGTTCCCTCTCAGTGAAGTAGCTAGATATCATTCGGATTAGATACGGTGAAATGTTCTTTTTTAAGAGCTTTTAGAATGCTTTCCCATGGCGCCGAATTAAATGCATTTTTAACATCTACAGTTACAAGAAGACATTGTTTTCTATTTTGGAATGCAAAAGCCTTTGCTCTTTTGGCTTCTTGTAACACACTCGCTATAGCGTCAATTGTCGAAGATCCTTTTGTAAACCCATACTGTGTCTTAGCTAGTCCCCCTTTTTGGTTTTGCTCCTCATTTATGCGATCTTTTAATAAATGCTCTTATAGTTTTCCCATGCAGTCAAGTAGGATATTAGATGCATGGATTATTGTGCATGTTATTAGATTGTTAAGATATTATTAGAGTTTTATCGAGATAAATAGTAAATTGCCATATTATTCTAATCTACGAAGATCTTTTATAAAAAAAGAAAACGAACTAAAGTCAGGATATGTAAAAATAAGAAACTAGCTTTTATTTTTAGACATAGCTAAACTTGCAAACTTAACCAATTCAAACTTGCCCAGATTAGACGGCTATCGAAAGGAAAAAATCTCTAAACATTTCCGTGACGATACAAGCTTAACCTTCCTTTATCCACTAGAAATTTTCATAAAACTTTTCTATTTTCTCCGGTACGTGCTAGTGCAGAGCACTGGAATTGTTAATGCTAAAGAAGATTTTAACTTTTTATCGAGATAAAGTTAACGGTGAGCGAAGCAGTTTGAAGTTTTATCGCTGTCTGTGAAGCTAGCTACCGTTATTATTATCTTTACGTCAGCGCAGCAGGATAATAGAATACGTCATAGATCTTTGTCAATTTTTTTCGAGACATTTGTACGTGGATTTTCTGATAAAAGTTCACTTTTAGAATTACTAACTAAAAGCAGTGTAGTAATAATACAGGGTTGTTCGCCATAAACGACACGGAGTACTGTAGATAAATGATTAGATTTTTGGAAATTGTAAGTTTCTTGGGTTCGTTGAAGGTCTATAGAGCTACAATTTAAAAACATATTTTTACAAGATACAGAGTGTCCCAAATAAATCAAAAATATCAAAGTTGTATTTTTTTTAAATGGAACACCCTGTATATTATTACATTTTTAGTTTCTACGACTAAAATAAAGGTAAATTTGATTTAAGGTTTACCGCATTTTTAATCTTACCGTTTTTGAAATATTTTAGGTTTTGTCAAAATACGGTAATATTTTTAATGCTTCATTTCTCTAGGCGCATTTAAATTTTTAACCTATCCAATTTAACCGATCCCATTTAAATTAAACAGTTATTGCCGTTTAAAACGAAATTATTATTACACTCTGTATGAGGTAAAGTATTATTTTAGTATTGCAATAACTGATCAATAATTAAACTTCAATAAATATTAAACTTCAATTGAAATATTTATATATACTTTGAAGCAAAGAGTACATAATATCCTAAAATTATGAAAATATTTCAAAAACGGTAAAGTTTGAGTGCGTAAACCTTAATCAAATTTACCTTTATTTTAATCATAAACTAAAAATTTAATTGTACAGCATGTTCTATTTAAAAAAATACAACTTTGATATTTTTTATTTATTTGGGACATTCTGCATCTTGTAAAAATCTTCTTAAATTGTAGCTCTAATAAGTCCCCTCTACGAACCCAAGACTTACAATTTGTAAAAATCTAATCGTTTGCTACAATACTCCGTGTCGTATGTGGTGAACAACACTGCATATGAAAAATTTAACTTAATTTTCATACATGCTTGTTCTAAAAACAAATATATATTTTATTTCACTCTTATTTTAAATTTATTTTATCAATTTATTATTTTTTAACGTTAATGTCAATCAGCATTTCCCTTTTACGAATAGATACAATACCTACATACAGAACAATACCTACCCCGCTTCTAATATTAATAAGCTCTATTAACCGCACACTATCTTAAAGCCCAGCTTGGTGAAATATTTAAACAACCGCTTGCTCATTGTATCCGTTCTTGTTTCAGGGTGGACTTAAGGCGGCCATTCTCGCCGACGTCATGCAGGGCTTGACCATGATAGCGGTCAGTTTCGCCATTATAGTGCAGGGATGCGTGGAAGCAGGCGGACCGGGAAACGTGTTTTATCTCAGCAAGAGGGACGGAAGACTAAATTTTTTCAAGTAAGTTGGTGTTAGATAAATTTCTTTTAGTATTTATTACAGAAAATTCATACACTGTCGGAAATAAAGGCTGTACTATATGATATTATTGGGACTTGGCCCTCAAATTGGATTTAACTTGGCTCTCAAACTTGATATCTTCCAAATTTCATGATTAAGGAAGCCCAGTTTTTTTCTTTTAATTATAAAAAAATTATAAAACCAATCGGTTGGACCGATTTTAATGGATTATTCAACTTCTTTTTTTTTAGGTGAAAGTTTGGAACACCCTGTGGAATATGTTAAAATGCGATGAATTTGAAAATCGGATTATCTAGTTTATTTTTTGGTTCATCTCAATAGCTTTATTTTTTTGGAGATATTCGCTCGCAGGAAGACACTAACATTTGTTCGTAATTTTTTCGTTAAAACTATGCCTTTGTTTTTTTCCCATTCAACAGACCTATGAAATAGGGTCCGTTGAAATAGGGTATATTATAATATACAGCATCCGGCAATAGTGCATCGGACACAAGGTTATTAAAAGTTAAGGTGGTCTCGTAACTTTTGGACCAATAGGAGCGAAGCGGAATAGCATCCCTCTGACGTATAAAATCATAGAATGAAAGGAATAGAAAATAAAATGCAACCGACAAAGAGAGATAAATGGACGATAAAATAAAGAAAACACACATCAAACAACTGAAAACTATTGACGCCATACACTATAAACAATAAAGTACACAATGAATGTCGATTCGGAAATGCACTGTCGGAATATGGGCAGTTTTTATCCCTTTATCTATGAGCGGTATCATTCCTATGACGTAGTAGATGAAGTTTTCGATAATGGCGGATCGAGTTACGAGACAACCTTATCTTTTAATAACCTTGCGTCGTCGGGCATCTGTAGCTCCTAGAATAACAAACTTAAGAATTTTGTTTAAGTGCAAATCTAAAGTATTTTCTAGGATGTATTCCAGGAAAATATTTTAACTTCTATAGGGTGGCTCAAAAAAGTGTGATTGGATCGAGATGATTTTTTTTAAATGGAACACCCTGTGTATTATTGAATTTTTGGCTTCTTTTCAGATCACTTTACATAATCCTAAGATATGAGTAAATATATTTCGATAGTTTCAGAGATATTAATAAATAAATAAATAAAAATCACAGTCCTTTACAAAGATGCAACCGGGGGGGCATTGAAAATGATGAATAAAAACGTAAAAATATGATTAGTGTTAATATGAGTGTATTACATACATATGTTTAAATAACGAACTTAACAAAAAACAACAGATTTAAAGATTCACTGAAAAAGTAGTAATGTTAACATTAAATAAAACATTATCAATAATAATTATGCGGTCGCACCTATCTGTAAAACAAGCAAGCAAAAAATCCTCGAAAAAAACAAAATAACATACAAAACATCAGGTTAACATGATGACAGATCATGATCAATGACAGATAAAGAATTCTTACGGAAAGTTACACTTTACGATATAATTTTTTAACTGTTAAAGGCAAACCCCATTTAAACACAAAACTTTTTAATACCTACTACTGTATCTAAAAGACTTTTATTTAAATTACTAAATTCTTAGCCACGCTTCTGTTTTACTTGGCTGTTGTGCGTCACGTCACAGATTAACAGGCCTACGTTTGCACCACAAGGCGATGCTGCAGACCACTAGGTAGACCGGTCGTAGAAATTTATGTTATACAACTTGTAGTCGATCTACACAAATATTATCAAAAACTTTTTTTTCTTTTAAAATGTGTTCAGATTTTATAAAAAGTATAAGTCAAAATCGCAAAACTTAAATTTGATATGAGTTTCTTAGTTTTTAACTAATATAGTGGCGAATTACAAAAATTCCTTTTCAATGAAAATTAATGAGTTAAATAAAATAATTTAATAAATTACTAGCTTTTTCTCGCAACTACGTTCGCGTTACACCTCGAATCGTTTATGCATTGATTTAAATGATTTTTTACTTCTTTATAGAGAGCTAGTGAACATATAGATGTTTTTTATTTTTCATCTTTTTTTTATTTATTAAGAGCACTAATACTCTCTTTATAGGTTATTTTTTATTCTTTGAAGGATAATTGAGGAAGATATATTTCGTTATGATGTCACTAAATAAACCCTTGTATAAAATTTTATACTGTCTGGTTTATAATGTTATAGTATTGCATTTTCGTACAGCAAACTTTCATTCCCTATTTTACTCCCTAAGGGTATAAATTTCATAAATTCGCTTTACCTTTGTGCCAATTTTTATGTGTATAATCCAGACGTCACCAAGTTTTATATAAATTTTTACTAACTTTACCCATTTGGTTGATGAATTTCAAAAATTTCTTCTAATTCTTTTTGTAGGATTTCATTCTTCTAGACGAAATAGTAAGGAATTTTCATACAACAAACTGTTCCGAGATAATTTTACTCTCTAAGAGGATGAATTTCCTAAAATCGCTTTGTGTAGCTAATTCACTAATGTCGTTTAAACGAACCTTTGTGCTAATATTTATGTATCTAAAGCTGGCGGCATCAACTCACTCTAAAATATCTAAAAACGTAATATATAATCTAACTGACACACCACTGACAATGACAACTAATTTATTTCTGGAGGTATTGTGTGTAGGTGTTTTCAGGTATGTTTTAGTATTTAGTCGTTTTACACAAAGAAATAGCCATTAAGCACTATAAAAATACTTCATAACAAATCTACACATATATACCTTTCATTTAAAAAAAGAATCATCAAGATTGGTAAAGCGCTTTCGGCGGGATGGATGCAACAAAAAAACCCTTTGAGCTTTTATATATGTATGGACTAATTATTTTTCCAACATATTTTACTTTGCAAATTTTTATAATATTCAGACTCGCCAATATCGTACTCCACCGTGTCCAGCCTGTTTAGCCAAACGTAGGCCGATTCCTCTTCGGCGGCGTCGTGACCCTGGCCGAAGGAAGAGTCTTGAAGACGCTCATCCGCGCATAGGAATAAGTTGACTGCGTAGCGTATTGCGTATTAATCGATTCTGAAACTTTCTATCTCGTGTATAACATGTTACGCAAGTTTATTATTTTAATCTCGATTTTAATAGATAAATGTGTGAAATGCCACCTGAATATCTTCCGCCATGACATGTTTTTACTTTTTTGTTATGGTAAAGTGATTTGTATAAACTTTATTCAATAACGTATATTTTCCTCCATTTGTGATTTTTTAATTTTAAGCGAAAATTAAGTATAACATTTTAGGAAAAAGAAACACTGTAATATTTAAAAGAATAAGAAGAAATTAGTCTTATTTTGAAAGGAAAATATAGAAAAAACTCTTTCTATAGAAAAAGTCTTTATACTAACCAGAATCCGGTGACATATACGCGGTCTCACCGGAAACATTACTTATTACTTCGCATAACTTGAAGAATATCTACTTTTAATAATGAACACTTCAGAAATACACCAGTAAAAACATTTATTATTTGAGATTAAAACTCGAATTAAATTATAAATATTAGTTACCTATGTTGTTATAGCTTTTATAGGCCTGTTTAACGACTTAATAAGTTACCTAGCGAAAAAATCTGTGCGCGTACCTACCACTATTGTTACAGGTTAATTCGTTAAAGAAATATGTTACACAAGTTAAAAACGCTAAAATTTTAATGGTATTACTTGTGCATTATTGGCCTTATAATGTAATTTGTTGGAATTATATCTTCTTTAAATATAATTAGACTTTTTAACGACTTTTAAGTTACCTAGGAAAAAATCTGTGCACGTACCTACCAGTATTGTTACAGGTTAATTCGTGAAACAAATGTGTTACATATTATTCGTGGTATTAGTGGTATTATATTGGAATCAGCTTGGCATTAGTGGGGCATTATATGAGAAATTTTGGTATTTAATTTGTATTTTTGGCATTACTTTGGCATTAGTATACAGACATTTGTCAGCGGTTTACTCCTTGTAGATAATCAAAAAGTTTTTTGATAAAATTTGCTTTTCATGTCAGATCATTTCTATGAAAAATTACATTAGATTTTTATTAAAGACGCTGGGTAATTAAAACATTGACTAATAAACCTTGTCCACTTTAAATACGGGGTCACGAAATATCCTCCTTGGAGTGTTTGGGTTAAGGGGTGTATAATAAATTAATCGTTGTTTTATAATAAAAACCATAAAACATTTATTTGTGAGTAAAATAATGCAATGGTTGGATATCTCTCCTTTATAATTCGGTGACTAAAAATACACTAAAATAATTAGAAAAAAAATCTTGTACTTATTTAGTAATTACGTCAATATTAATTAATTGACTTTCTAGTCTATTTTATTTTATGTACAAATATATTATTAAATTTTAAGCATTAAGTAATAAAACACTTTGTGCCCTCTTATATCGTAAAAGGTTACGAAATATACTCCTGGTTACACCCCTTACAGAAAACAGTGTAAGGGGTGTAAATAAATTGTATAATCACTGTTTTTTATAATAAAAACTATAAAATATTTCTTATTTGTGAGATTAAAAAAACAAAACAATGCATTGGTTAAAATAAGTACATTCAATACTGTTTTCAATTGTTAATTCAATAATGTGTTATAACATAATATAGCCATTACTATTATACTATTATTATTAAAATAATATGTGTGTAACATATTTCTTTAACGAATTAACCTGTAACAGACATTTATATGCCCAGTATATTTTTGTTTAACAAACCAATCAGGAAAAATCCAAAACCTACCGTTATAGGAGGTATAAGACGATTAAACTTATATAATGACAACTACTTATCGGATAACAAATTAATTACTACTGTCAGCTAGTTCAGCTACTGTCTAGGTAGAATTTACCTAGAGTACCTACACCTACCTATGATGATGTAGGTAGATTAAAGCTTATTTTGACGTTACCTCTCACTTCGGTGTCACAAGCTGAATTTTTCAGGGATGGAAGTACAGTACATCACAGTAC